AAGTGAAGGCTGAAGAGCGACAAGTGAGCACTGTTGTGCCGAAGTTTCAGTTTTTTCTTGCCACTGGGTTCAGTTTCAGTGTTCTGTGATCAGGGACGAGTTGAGAGACGTTTTGAGCCTTGTTGGAGATTGTGACATCTATGTTTTGAGCTTTGTGTTCTTTAGATGAGTGTGTGAAGCGCAACAAAATTGATTGCTTAAGAAGAACGATGCATCACAAACCTTTGTGTTGTGTGAGCTGCACAGCATCAGACAACAGGGAATGGCAGGTGAACGATATTTTTACCAGAGTATATTATGTGCTCATTGAACAGATCATACGCATGCATCAAGCACATAAATCGTGAATAGGGAACAATTCATGAGACGCCCTTCCTTCGTTTCCATTTCTTTGAAAAGCCTCCGCGTGTATGACCTTCATGCTTTTCATGAAATGGAGGCGCACAAGAACATTCTAAAAAGCGCTTGAATTGCTCACATCCTAAGGCTGATGTCTTGAGCGATACGCGATGAAACGATCGCTATGAAAAGTGTCAAAGTTAAACTTTAACAGGGGAAGAGCACTTCGCTTCAGTGCTGGGGGTGGCTTGTCCCGAGCTGGGGCGGAGAAACCCCTTTAACATTCTTGCATTTTTTGACAACTTTATACGCGAAGACCTCTATCAGTGCAATTATCCAATGCGAGAAAATACGTTGAGCTTGCCGTAAGTACTTTAGGTGGTCCGATTACGCGCCACGGTCCAAAGATGTGATGCTTTTAACCAAACGAGGGGGCGTTTTGCCTCTAACCAGTGCGTTGAAAGAATTATCAGGAATACCTGATCAGATATGGTGTAATACCTTATCAGATAGTGGCCTTATCCTTGTCATTTCTGTTCAGTTTTATTGACGCCCGTGCCCTAAAAATTCTGGGATGTTGACATGTTGTAGAGTCGATGTTCTACCTGTCGGTATTATGCGTTCGGCTTTTCTCATGCAAATATTTTGCGGCCCATACTATTGTCCGCCGTTGACTAGCGTGTCGATGTTTCACCTTGATATCCCCTTAGCCATATTCCATATCAGTCGTTCATTAACGTCGCAGCTCAATTTCAGGTGTGCGCATTGGCGAATGGCTTCGCACGCTGTGGTCGGGAGCCATCTTTGTACAGACGTCATACATCGAGACAACCAAGCCGACAAACGCCGCCGATTTGGTGGTCTCGTTCCGGCCACTTCCAGACGGACAAGGCGAAGTGGAAGGACCTATGTGGATTCACGTGTCCGAGCAGGGTCAGGGGCTGGAGACAGAGGGGGCCCAGGCGACAGAGCAAGCGTTAGGCCCGCAACGGGACTGGGAACACGACCATGAACAGTCGATTGGCCTAAAACCAGCAGCAGTGCAAGAAACAGCGAGGGAAAGCCGATGGGGAGACTCAGAGCACGATAGGAAACGTCATCTGAGCACTGAGCTGCGTGGCTCATCGTCAGACACAGAGCCAGAGCCGGAGCAGGGACAGCGCTCGGAGCCGGGGCGGGGACAACGCTCGGAGCCGGGGCAGGGACAGTGCTCGGAGACGGAACAGAGACAGCGCTCGGGGACGGAGCAGGGACAGCGCTCGGAGACGGAACAGAGACAGCGCTCGGAGACGGAGCAGGGACAGCGCTCGGAGCCGGGGCAGGGACAACGCTCGGAGCCGGGGCAGGGACAGTGCTCGGAGACGGAACAGAGACAGCGCTCGGAGCCGGAGCGGGGACAGCGCTCGGAGCCGGAGCAGGGACAGCGCTCGAAGCCGGGGCAGGGACAGCGCTCGGAGCCAGAGCCGGTGCCGGGGCGACGTGTCCGGCTCGGGCTCCTGGAGCCAGGTGTGCTCGGCCTGACGGTTCGGCTGTGGCGCGGCCTCGCCGGCCGGCCGTCCGCCCTCCTGCTGGCCAGCTGCGCCGGCGGTCGGCTGCGCATCCACCGCAGGCCAGCGCTGGACAGCACCGCTCGTGGCCGCGACGTCGGCTTCGGTGGCCAGCTGAGGGGCGTCACCCTACGCGGCAGCGTGATGATCGACGGACCGCCGCCACAGAACGGCAGCGGCCCTCTGCGCTCGGCCTCGTTGCTGGACCGAATCACGCTGAGGGGCGGTCGCATGACCGGCGGCCTGTTCTCTGTCGTATTCAACGCGCTGGCCGCCCACTTCGGCTTCGAGTACACGATCGAACCGTTCTTCATGACGCCAGGAGGGCCAGGCTGGGAGCAGGGCATTGCCGAGCTGGAAACGGGACGGCATGACGTCATTGCGCGCGACCTCTGGTACACAATCAATAATTGGAAGCGGTTCAACCTCATGCTCCCGCTCGTTGACGTGCATGCCAGCATCATCATAAAAAAGCCTGTCGTTGGCGATTATGCGTTCAACGTCCTTTCGCCCTTCTCGGGTGCTGTCTGGATGACGGTCGGCGCGCTGGCCGCGGCTCTCAGCGCTCTGTTCTGGCTGACGGACCGCATTGACGAGCGGGCGGCGGCCGCCCCGCGACGCGGGCGTCTGGCCGGTGGTGCCGGCCGGGTGGGCCCGCCGCCGCCGCGGCCGGGGGCAGCGGACGGAGCGGCCAGCGCGCTGCTCGTGCTCGGCACGATCGGCCGACTGAGCGTGCCGTACCGGCCGCGGTCGTGCGCCGCCGCGCTGCTGTACCTCACGGCCAGCGCGCTGGCGCTGATCGGCGGCAGCTGCTACTCCGCCGTCCTCCTCAGCCACATGGCCGTGCGCAGCGCGGAGCCGCCCTTCGCCTCGCTGCGCGCCGCCGCCGAGCGCAACTGGACCTTTCTCTACGACTCTGCTGGCTGCTTCACGGACTTCTTCGGGCAGCCGGGGTTGACGGGCAGCGCGGCCGCCCTTGCGGCGCGCGGCCAGCCCCACATGTCGCTGTCGGAGACCGAGCTGAGCCGGCGTCTGGACCGAATGGTCGGTGCGGCCGGACGTCACGCCGTCGTCACTCACAAGGGTGTGCTCGCCGCGCGCCCCGGCTGCGAGGCACCCGACGGCTGCACCCTCTGCGTCTGGCCCGAACGCCTTTTCCTCGCGCACAGCTCCATGGCGTTCAGCAAGCACTTTCGCTACGTCCGCCAGGTCAACTGGTACGTGCTGCGCATGCGCGAGACTGGTGTGCTAGCTCGCGAGGTGCGGCGAGCCTGGGGGATCGCAGACCAGAGCCTGGCTTGTGAGATAGGCGACAGGCACCCGGTGAAACTGCGGCTTGGGCTTCGGGGCGCGGCACCCATTTTTCAGTTGCTCTGCGGCGGCGTGGCCCTCTCCTTGCTAGTGCTCACCGCTGAGATCATATGCGCACGATGCTACCCGCGTTAGGGGTATGTCGGTCATGCACAACAGCCGCTGCATGGTCACGGCGTTTTGCTGGGATTGCAATGGATACACGGCTTGGGCTGTGATAATGGAAGCAGACATGTAGGTTTTTCTGTGGCAAATGCGCTAACTAGAAAGCGATGGTGTCCTTTGATAAGTTATCTATGTGGTTATCGCCCTCAGTGGGCGCTTTCTGAAAATGTCTATCTACGAAAAGACGTGTCGCCTGTCATGTAAGCAAGGCCAATGAATGTTTCTGGCAGTATTGCTGTATTCGTGGTATAAACTACGAGCACACGCACCTACACACCGGAACGAATAAAGTTTATTTGCGACTGCGCAACTCACTCGAGGAATCGTAGCTCGAAGTACTTTTAAATGTTTTATTTACGAACTGTGCGAGGCATTCAGAATATTGGAGATAGCCGCTCGCAACACCACCGCCACACGTGCAGAAAATGTGCCAGTACCGGTGCCTGGGCCAGGCGTGCAGCCAATGTCGGGCATGATGCATGGTACAAAATTTGCCGAATCTCTTCAGCTACTTAACTAGATACAAAACAAACCACTCATCCGATGACCACAACATGACGCATACCTTGAACATTTGGGCGTTGTGAAAGCGATTCCAACACGAGAGACAATGCTAGTTATCAATTGCCGCTCTCATAATTTTTACAGCCGTCACCCGGATAAGGCGCCATAAATTTCGGCGGCGTGGCGGCCCGCCGGTCCAGCATAAAGCCACGAGTTTGCAGATGATCTTCTAACATTCAAATGCATCGCAAGAGCGTTCGGCGCGCAAAGGTCACCCCTTCATGAGATTCAAGTGCAATAGGGCCGGGTACCGGAATCCGCCGCAGGTGCGTCTCGTCACGCGCCACGGGGTTTGTTGATATGTATGTATGTATCTCTTGGTCTGGCGCGAAACACTTGCGGGATCGATTCAGAGGAAATCGCGCAAAAACTGCTGCACAGCATGAAACGCCGAGTAAACGCCACGATGTGTGTGCCTGTTCTGGCCTGACCTGGGGCGGTGGACCCAGTTCCCCTGGGGCACGCGAGATGTCCCGAGTCGTGGCCCCAGGTCAGGTCAGGGATGCGACGCCAGTCTCAAGGCAATGCTGTGGCGGTGGGAATGCGGGGCGTAACCTTTACCGTAACACTGATGTTTCCTTCAAACTATGCGTGCTGGTAAGCGGCCATCTTTTTTAGACCGCATGAGCCATGACGTGATCTTGGAGATTTTGGCCTCAAATCGGTGAGGGTAATTACAGGCCGTAGCTAAATTATCGCCTATCAGTCAGCATCATTGCTCAGTTCTGCTCTGCGCAGACCAAGTCACTGATTTAGGCGCCTTACGGATTCTTGTAGGAACATTAGCGTTGACGACAAATGCACATCATCACAAGGAAACAGTTCACACAGTTAACTCACTGCGCCCACTGCACTGGATGACACAGAACACCGCGCAAAATGAACGCATCTAACCTAGAAAAGCGGCACTGCGCAAGGATCACCTGTAGATCGAGCGCGCATGCGCGACCACCGCAGTCCCGATGATTTGATTTCGCCGCCGGAGTCGACACTGCACTCATGTTTTTACTGACTAGGCACGTGCCAATGGTTTGAACAGTCGCTCCGCGCGCCTCCGAGCCCCGTAAGTGGCGCTCAGGTGCTCGCGCGGGGCAGCGGCACTGGAAAATCAGGCTTCAGCGCGCGACCGAAGCGACTGTAGCCGCGGCCCAGGCCCAGCTCGTGCGCGCCGCAGCCGCGGCCGTAGCCCAGCTCCTGTGGACTGGCGTAGATGACGTCCCCGGCCGGCGGCGGCGCGCTGACCGGACGGAGCTGGGCCGCCCAGCGGCTGCGCTTCAGCCGGTACAGGCCCAGCCCGCCCAGCACGAGGCCCAGCTGGGCCAGCGCCACCGTGATCGCCACAGCCACCACTGTCGAGCGCGGCGTACAGATGGCGTCCTGTGGCGGCGGAAGGCGGGGATCGGCTGGAACAGAGGTACGGCAGCGTCAGACGACGGCGAACGGGCCTCTGGTGATGGCGGGAGCAGAAGTGGGGGAGTGGGGATACCGGGGGGCGCGGCACGGCTGGAACAGGGCACGACAGGTGTAGATGCTCAGATGGGAGCAATGCTGGAAAGAGACTGGCTGTCAAAGCATGAATACAAACAAAGGGGTCATGCGCTGAGCTATGGAATGGGTGTGTCGGTGGCTGTGCGAAAGGAAAAAAAATGAACTAAAGTCTAGATATCGTGTTTTTTCTTCTCTTCGGCGTGAGGCGTGATGTGTCGTCCGAAGACCGCTTAGCTGTGCGGAGCCGCGTGCTGATGAATAAAAATCACTAAAATATAAATCACCATGAATAAAGTCTTCATGCCCTTACGTGATGCAAAACACGATTCATTAAACTGATTGACGTCAGTATTGAGCATTGGCACCCTTGCATAAATTATATCTGCATCGATGAAAGACATCGCAGCAGGATAAAGGTGGATGCCGCCTCACCTTCTGTCTGATAGGCATGACGACTCTGCCAGTTGTGCCCGAACACGACGTCGTACTTCTGCGGCTCCACCGCCTCCTCTTCTTCCTCCATCATCAGCCGCACCTTCTCAGACGAGATATCCGGTCCCACCAGCAGCTGGAGGCACGCGTGACGCCGGTCACGGTCAGGTGACGCACCCGAGGTGCGATTAGGAGCGGGAAGTGGTGGCCGGACAGCCACTGACGGTGCGATCAGGAGCGGGAAGTAATGGCCGGACAACCACTGATGGTGCGATCAGGAGGGACAGCCACCGACGGTGCGATCAGGAGCGGGAAGTAATGGCCGGACAGCCACTGATGGTGCGATCAGGAGGGACAGCCACCGACGGTGCGATCAGGAGCGGGAAGTGATGGACAGACAGCCACTGATGGTGCCATCAGGAGGGACAGCCAATGACGGTGCGATCAGGAGCGGGAAGTAAGGACCGGACAGCCACTGATGGTGCGATGAGGAGCGTGAAGTGATGACCGGACAGACACCGATGGTGCGATCAGGAGCGGGAAGTAATGGCCGGACAGCCACTGATGGTGCGATCAGGAGGGACAGCCACCGACGGTGCGATCAGGAGCGGGAAGTGATGACCAGACAGCCACTGATGGTGCCATCAGGAGGGACAGCCAATGACGGTGCGATCACTGATGGCTCGTTGAGGAACGGGACGTGTTGATCAAACAGACATTAATGGTGCGAGAGGAGCGGGAAGTGATGACCGGGCGGCCGCTGATGGCGCGTTGAGTAGCGGGACGTATTGATCAGACACTGACGGTGCACTGACGAACGGCAAGTGATGATCAAACAGACACTGATGGTGTGTTGAGGAGCGGGAAGTGATGACCGGGCAGCCACTGGTCCCGGCCATGGGCGTCTGGTGATGAGCGGCGTTAGCTGATGTGTTTATGGATTACTGACGTCCTGATTTCAAGGGTTTGTTTCGCGTTTGCTGCAGCAATCGCTCCCAGCCGCTCCCTGAAATCAGGCGTTGTATGTAACAGGACAGACAGCGGAGTCCCCACCGCCTACTCACGGAGGTGGTGAGCGGCAAAGCCACAGGCAGCAGACTACCAGGCGTGGCGATCATGGCAGGGTGCGGCGCGGCCTCGACCGCCTCCTCCGAGGAAGGCTGGGGAGGTCGCCCACTCCCGGAGAGGACAGCGGCAACCCGCGGTGCCGCCGGCGCCTCGTCCTCCTCCAGCGGGTCCTCCGTGGGCGACTCCGGCCCGTCCTCCGGCGTCGCGCTCCTCTCGGAGGAAGAGGCGGTTGCCATCTCAGGCAGCGGCGTCACGGGGATGGGTGTGGAGGACGAGCTGGGCTCGGGGCGATCTGAGGAGGACATTCACGCCTAGTGATGGTGTCCGGGCAAGCGATGCAATCACAAGAGGGAAGTTCTCGATTATTAAGCCGACCACAAGATGGGCACTGTTCGTAGCCGTCCGGGTGACCGAGCTACATACGCGTGGTACACGGGTGCGACGCATGGAAATTGAAATGCGTTTCAGAGTCGATGCAGCGGCCCGCTTTCATCACGTCAACCAGCTCATCAGATAAACTCTCGCAGCTCATCAGATAGACCCTCGTAGCTCATCAGATAGACCGCCGCAGCTCATCAGATATACCCCCGCAGCTCATCAGATAGACCCTCGTAGCTCATCTGATGGACTCTGGCAGCTCATCAGATAGACCCTTGTAGCTCCTCAGATAGACCCTCGTAACTCATCAAATAGACCCTAGCAGCTCATCAAATAGACCATCGCAGCTCATCAGATAGACCCTCGTAGCTCACCAGATAGACCCTCGTAACTCATCAAATAGACCCTCGCAGCTCATCAGATGAACCGCTGCAGCTCATCACATAAACCTTTGGTGAGATTTCTAATCGCACAATCTTTTCGTACATGCACCCGTATAGCGCTCGCGAATAAGGCCGGTCAGCCGCCTGAGGCAAACACCCACCTGCGGTCGTCTGCTTAGTGGAGGGGCTAGCGGCGCTGGTCGGAACGCTGGTCGGCACGGTGGTCGGCACGGTGGTCGGCACGGTGGTCGGAGCCCTCAGCGTGACGCGGTTGTTGAGGCTGATCGGCAGATCGATAGGTACTTGAGCAGCAGCAATCGTCAGATCCATGGGTACCTCAGCGGTGGCGGCCGAGCTGGCGGGTTTCTCCGCGACGTCCTCCGCTCCGGTCTCGTTCAGCGAGCGGCGGCGACGGCCGTACGAGTTGCCCGAGGGGCAGCGCGCCTGTAAACGCGCTGCTCTCAGCACGGCGCCTCCACTTACAGCGGGCTCCGAAATGAGGACACTTTGGTGGGGATTTCAAACCTGTTCTGGACCGTTTCCAAGCATTTATCCAAGCTGAGTGACCGGAGAGTTCCCGGCTGCCTATTGCGATTGCGCGCTGCAAAATGATTTCCCCAATCAAATCCCTTATGTGACGGTTGGGGAAGCTGAGTAAAGCCCCAATTTCCAAAAGTGGTTGTCAATATGCAGTTGCTCGATCGACGAAATCTTGGAAAACCTCAACCATTCCCAGAGCCGGTTGAGGACAACTGATATTTCTCAAGCTTTTCCCAAACTTTCCCAACCTTTCCCCAAACAAATTGCTGTCTGACGAACTGTCCCCTACCGGCGGACACTCGTCCTGGCAGAACTGCACGGTGGCGAAGAAGTTGACCCGCGCCGTGCTGGGGAAGCGGAACGCCTTGAAGTTAGCCATCAGGTTCTTGGACTCCCTGTCGATCTCCAGGGCCGGGAAGATGCTCGCATCCCGAGGACATCTGAGGTCATCGATGCAGATAGCACGTTAGTTGTGCGTTTCATTACAGCAAGAACGCAAAAACCAATCTCAAACAACAAGAGCATTGCTTGATTTCCGGCTAATTTAGTTACGAGGTCGTCGAAATGGATAAATGCATCATTGTGCACTAAAATCTGAAATGCACCAAAAAAGGGAAAAAGACACTAAAAGGGCATTAGAGATAGACTTCTCAAAAAGCACACGTAATGCTGGTTGCCTTCCACTGAATAATTGTCCTGCGCCGAGATTAAAGCGGTCCATCGAATTCGAGGCGGCTCGGCCGAGCAATAGCACAAAACACCGCAACAGCGCACAAACATGCGCTGAACCCAAACCAGCTGAGAGCTAACTATAAGTGGCTCCGCCGAGCAATAACACAAACACCGCAACAGCGCACAAACATCTGCTGAACCCAAACCAGCTGAGAGCTAATCAGACGTCGGGCGCTGCTCAGTGGCGGCTGCCCCTCACCCCTGGTCGTCGATGAGCGCGAGCAGCTCTCCGTTGTCGGTGCGCGCCTCGACGCCCTTGCCGAGGATACCGAAGGCGCTGCCCGGGTCGGCGACGATCATGAAGGTCAGCTCCTCACCCAGGCTGACCTCGCTCGTGTCGCGACCCTGGCGTCCGACGATTCGGAGACTAACACTAGGGGTCGGCGCAGTGTTCGTAACCACCGAAGTACCCACGGGCCGAAAGGGCGCGCTGAAACGGAACAAGGTGGGGATGAGAGGGTAAGCGGTGGTGTCGGCGGGATGGTGATGCGAACCCAGAATAGACAGCGCCGGTGAACTCTAAACATGCTGTGGCTGATCATAAAGGTAATGATTGACTCCAGTAAAATCACGAGATTCATGTGGATGTTGCGATTTACCATGTAGTGGCTAAGTACTAGGATGACCCTCTTATAGATGTTGATGTTCCCTGCTTGTCAATTCACCCCACTGCTCCAAGAATAGTCAATGTACTCTGTTTGCGTAAGCTTGCACTTTCACACCGCGCCAGACACCAAATAATTGCTGCAAAACATCCACACTCCCGTCCGGCAGCCGTCGCAGTCCCGTGACTGTGGACCGAGCGTCACGACGTGACGCCCGGCGTCGGGCCGAGCGTCGTGACGTGACGCTTGGCGCCGGACGCAGCGTCGTGACGTGACGCCCGGCGTCTGACCCAGCGTCGTAACGTGACGCCCGGCGTCGGGCCCAGCGCCGTGACGTGACGCCCGGCGTCGGGCCGAGCGTCGAGACGTGATGCCGGGCGTCGGGCCGAGCGGGCCGTGACTCACTTGACGTCGACGCCGCCGCCTTCAGTGAAGCGGTTGCCGGTGGGCGCGAGAGTCACCGTCTGGTCGTTGGCGTCGAACGTGCACTCAACCCGCACGGTCTTGTCCGACTCCTGCATGATGGTCGGGTGCTGCTGGATCACCACGTGGTTCACGTACCGGCCGCGACCCTGCGGCGGCGTGGCACAGGCAAGAGGTCAGCGGCGAACGGGGGGAGTGTGCGCGTGCTGGCCCGTCGGTGGCGTTGGGGACACGACCGAGGTAACTGCAGCAATGAAGGAGAAATCAGGCAGAAGAGGCGGCCAAAAAGGGACGCCATTCTATGGTGTCAACTTAGCTAGTTATTAGGTGTCAAGGGCGCGTCAACTGCAATGGTAATTTGTCTGATGTTAAAAAGATGTCAAAAAGTTGCACATGGTGTCACAAAGACCACATTGGCTTATACTCTTCGTTGCTAGAACATACCATTCCATTTCCACGCTTGCATTATCTGAAAGAGTGCTTTATTTGATCAGGCACCAAATCTGACATGCACGGAATATGCGCTGAACAGGAGGAAAATGAAAGGAATTTCAAGTCCGCAGAGATGGCAGGCACGTTTTACGTTACAAGCGTTTCGTCTTGGCGAGCAATCCCGTTTCGAATCATTTCGAGTGGTATAACGCGGTCCTACAACAATGCGATTCTGGCATTGACGAGCTAATCTCAACACCCTTGGCAACACCAAGGTGAAAAAAGCACGCATGGGGGAGAGAACTGCAAAACACAGCCTTTTTTACTATCCCTTCGGCATCCGCACAAGTCTCCGCAGGGCTCATCAAAGATGAGGCTCTCAGCAACAGCACACTAGCAAGCTACACCCCGCTGTCGCGTGCGGACGCCACCGACCTCCTCAACGGTGCCACAGCGGCTGCCCAACGGGATGGAGAGCAGCACAGTCTGTCGGCCGTTGCCCATGTCGAAGCAGGCCTGCGCGTTGCCCGTGGCGTACACTCGGCCTTCGAAACGGCTCCCGAAGCTGAAGGTGACTTGCATGTCGTTCTTGCTGCACTCCACCTGAACTGTGGTGCGGGAGAGGTGTCGGTGGTGAGGCTAGGGCGACAGCGAGCGCCGCTGTTGAAGACGGCCGGCGCTTGAGGATGTGTGGGCAGCTCGCTCATCATTGGTCCTAGATGACGTCGGGTTTGTCGGCGATTGGTGATACGCCATCAGAGAATGCGAGCAGCTGTGGGGTGACCTATCGCGGATCAGATGCTGATACTACCACCATTACTTACTGAGACACTGCAGAGGTAAAGGAGTATGTATCTATGGGCGGGTATAGAGGGCACGCGATGCAGAGAACTACACATTACACAACCGACACCGCTATTAATAGTCCGCTTTCGACCGACAGACAAACTGAGCAGGCACTGAAAGTCGTTACGCCAAGTCCACGACATGCCACAGAAGGCAGAGGCTCCGAGCATGCTGAGAAGTCGGGAGGGAGGTAGAGGGAGAGAGAGACGGAGTACATCATGCCGTCTAGCGACCGCCGACTGCCAGCCGTCCATCGCCTCCTCCCGACCAGTCAAGCGGCATAAGAGGCGCTACCTTTCTGCGACGAGAGGGTTTTCTCCGAAGAGGGACATCCAAGTCTCTACTGTGAAAGAGGTTAGAGCTGATACGTTGTCAACCAGATAGGAAGTGTGGTGCCATCTCGCACAAAGATGTGAGAAATTTCTGTCTGTGATAAACAGTATACTTAATTGCCCAGCATGAAATGCTTCAGGACGTTGTGTAAAGTTTACTTTCGTGCATCTTACAATGCTTACAATTCGGTTTTTTGTGGAAGTTGATCGATATTATTAGCACAGCAAAGAAACTGAACATCTGGGTTTAGTGCATTGCAAATGACGCTGTAGAATTAGAGCATATTTTAGTACGCCTCCTTTGGCCCACTGTGCGTGTGCCGCGTGCCTTGCTGTCCTGGTGGGACGTCCTCCACGATGTCAGCACTGTACTCCGTCTCTCTCTGATCCGGGTGTGGTCCGGTTTTCGTCAGGCCCGGCTTGGGAGTCTCTGCCTGCTGGAGCTGGTCAGACTCGATAGTCTCTGCCTGCTCCGGTCTGTCGGTTCCGGAAGCCTCTTCTTGCTCCAGCCTGCCGGGTTCGGGAGCCTCTCCCAGTCCCAGAAAGCCGGGTTGGGGAGCCTCTCCCAGCCCCAGCAAGACGGGTCTGGGAGCCTCTCCCAGCCCCAGCAAGCCGGGTTGGGGAGCCTCTCCCAGCCCCAGCCTGCCGGGTTCGGGAGCCTCTCCCAGTCCCAGAAAGCCGGGTTGGGGAGCCTCTCCCAGCCCCAGCCTGCCGGGTTCGGGAGCCTCTCCCAGCCCCAGCAAGCCGGGTTCGGGAGCCTCTCCCAACCCCAGAAAGCCGGGTTGGGGAGCCTCTCCCAGCCCCAGCAAGCCGGGTTGGGGAGTCTCTCCCAGCCCCAGCAAGCCGGGTTGGGGAGTCTCTCCCAGCCCCAGAAAGCCGGGTTGGGGAGCCCCTCCCAGCCCCAGCAAGCCGGGTTGGGGAGTCTCTCCCAACCCCAGCAAGCCGGGTTCGGGAGCCTCCCCCAGCCCCAGCAAGCCGGGTTGGGGAGTCTCTCCCAGCCCCAGAAAGCCGGGTTCGGGAGCCTCTCCCAGCCCCAGCAAGCCGGGTTCGAGAGACTCTTCCTGCTCCAGCCTGCCGGGTTTGGAAGTCTCTCTCCGACGGCCGGAGGCAGTGCCGGTGTCTCGGATGCGACCGGTCAGCAGGGCTTTACCGGTGCGGCAGACGCTCCGCTCGCTGAACACGCTCTCCACGTCGGCCACGAGCGCCCGCTCGCCCAGACTGCCCGTGTCGTCACTGCTGAGCGTGCACTCCCTCCGCCGGTCGTTGTAGTTGTAGCTGCGGCACCTGAGGTCGGGGAGAGCGTGAGAGGCTGGGCTCAGACCCGCGGCGGCAGAGGACACAGAGCAGAGAAGGTGAGGAGAGGCACATGGTGTAGGGAATCTCCGGCGGTAACCGAGAACACCCATTTCGGTTGTGGGCCCATAGTGCTGACGTTAAAAAAAATTGGGCGAGCTAGGTGCAGACAGCTTAACCTGAGACCTTGGGAGGCATCGCGCATTTGAAAACACTGTTACAGCTGAGGTGAATATGGCTCTGACAACGATGTTCGGAGGCGAGTACGTGGCCTCCAATGGCAAATTTGGCCTCGTGAAACGCAGACCTCTTTCGTTCTCTGTCCACTACTCTCACCTAACACCTCAATGAACAGCTCACATCACAGTTCGCACCTTCAACTTACCTTACCACCGTGGCCTTGGGACAATTGGCCCTCCAGTGCGTACCTCGTGCCACGTGGCCCCCTAACGCGCTGCGTACATGGTGATGGTCGCGCGACCAACACGCTACGCTGCGGTCTTTCGGACTGCCGTCTGCTTACTTGAAGTCGAGCTCCACGTCACAGCTGCGCATACACTCGGCTTTGTTGGCGACCCGCGCGATCATGCGGTCCACGAAGGGCAGGAACCGGCTCTCAACATCCCGGTACTCGCAGTTGGGCGGGTCTGGAACGGAGAGCCGCCACTGTACAGGACCGCCATCCGCCGCCAGACGGCGAGGCGCGTCGCGCTCACCGGGAGGTCATCGGAGGGAACACACGGCTGTGCCCTGCAGCCAGGCGGGCGGCGCAGCAGCCACCTACGGACTCGGCTACCCAAGCCCGGTGACCTCGGTTATTCAATGCCAGCACTGGTCAGCAGTGGTCGCCATCGCAGCGATGAAGGAGCGCCCGGGCACGACCGCCGACGATCAGCACCGCCCGGGCACGACCGCCGACGATCAGCACCGCCTGGGCACGACCGCTGACGATCAGCACCGCCCGGGCACGACCGCTAACGATCAACACCGCCCGGGCACGACCGCCGACGATCAGCACCGCCTGGGCACGACCGCCGACGATCAGCACCGCCCGGGCACGACCGCCGACGATCAGCACCGCCCGGGCACGACCGCCGACGATCAGCACCGCCCGGGCACGACCGCCGACGATCAGCACCGCTTGGGCACGACCGCCGACGATCAGCACCGCCTGGGCACGACCACCGACGATCAGCACCGCCTGGGCACGACCGCACACGATCAGCACCGCCTGGAGCGTGAATGGAGCGCGCGGCAGCTTACCGGGTGCACACTGGTTCTCCAGGTATTCGACGTCGGCGTCGTACACAAACTCGGAGGGCTGGGTGCGGCGGGTCTGGGTTGACAGGGCGCACGTTTGCTCGCGGAAATTGTACTCAGCCGATCTGAAACGCGACAGGTCAGCAGGCGCTCGGGCGGCCGCTCAGGCTTCAACTTCTGTCACCGCTCTTTCACCGCGCGTGCGAAAACTGAGTGCGTTCGGCAATAGAAATCGCTACCTATCTTAATGCTTGGATCATGCGCTAGGGTCACCTAGTGGCTCTTAGAGGCATGGACGGCATGCCTGGGCTGAACGGGGGGAGGGGGGCATAGGGCGCTCGCAAAGGCGCTCAATGCCTTGCCTTCCTACATCCAGACTTAGCTAACCAGACAACACCCCATTACGGACACTGTTGAAGGCTTGCTTACACAAAGGTGTGACGCCAGCAAAGTGTCATCAGGCAGTTCCATACATCGAGAAGTTCCGATGACATCAGCTCCCGTGTATGTTGAAATACTGACCGGCACGGCATGCGAATGTTCTGCAGGCAGAGCGTCTCGCACATCTCCTTGTTCCTGACGCGAGGGATCACCAGATCGTCGTGACCTTCGATCACGTAGTTCGGCACGCGCTCGAAGGTCCAGCCCTTGCCGCAGGTGCGCTCTGTGGGAACGCCGACCTTGAGTGCGGATGACCGACACATGCTAAGTGCTTCCAGCGTCTCCAGCTTAAGACCAAGGCATATCGTCCTGTCTTGATGCAGGCTTGCACGAAGCCTGCCAAGCTCCAGCACAGTTCCCAGCGTGGGCACGTCGCCACCCCCGGGTGGAACTCATCTGAAACAAATATTTACAAAGCCGGCGTCCTACGAGCGACTGTTTGCAAAACCCACTGTCAAGACAGCCCCCCCCCCCTCCCCCCTCCCCCCCCCACACACACTTGGCTCACCTTCGATGCAGACTTTCTCGAAGTAGGACATGCCGTCGGCGACGCTGAGCGTGCCGCCATCTTGGCCGGCCGAGGTCTCCAGGCCGTAGCAGCGCTCGCCCTGCTCGCCGTACTCCAGACTGATGCCCAGGCAGCGACGATTCCGCTCGCACTGAGGGGAGCGCCGGCCGTCGCCGTCAGCACGCTGCGCACCTCCCAAGACCGCCAGAGTATCGACAAACTGCGGCCAGTCGGCCGATCGGCCCGGGGGATCACCCGCGGGCATCCAATGTCCAGCTCTGCGGACAGTGCTGCAGACTGCAGTGCAGCAGCTGACGAAGCTGCCTTCCCTTACTCAGGGTCTCATGGCACTACGTGTTTTCCGTCGGACTGTAGCTCATGCAAGTCTACGGGAAGCAGCATGATAATCTCGGTTATCTTACGGAACGCGGGATTGAAGCAACCATTGCTTTAGAAAACAGGATGCTCTAATTGGTGACGTATGCAACTCATTACCGCACTCACTGCACACTCCACATCAGCGGCCTGGCAAGCCCAACGCTTCAGTCGGTCAACACCCTGGGTTACCGTCCTCCCGCGCCCAGCGCTTCAGTCGGTCAACACCCTGGGTCACCGTCGTCCCGTGCAGTGCTCCTCACCTGTAGCAGGCAGGGCACGGTGACGCCGCGGCCGCGGCCGCGTGCCTCGATCTCGAAGCGGCGAGCCGGCCGGTACTCGACGTTGAGCACCTTCTCGTAGGTGGGAGTGACGCGGCAGCGCTGGATGTCGGGCGACCGGCGGCCGCCGGTGTCCACCTCGTTGCCGCCTGTTGTGGTTGAGTCGTCGTCTTACATAAGGGTGACGGCCCGAGGGAATGTTAGTCGGCAGTGGCGCGGCTCTGGCGGTCTAGGCGGTCAAGCCAGGTCCCACGGCACAAGCGGGTAGAGTGAGGCTAAGGATTTGCTCGTGCAGATGGCTGGTTCGCCCGTTTTCTCCAGACGTGCCCGACACGGCAGAACCACGACCGGAATGTCGGCGTAACCACGACTCTCACAGGTGAGCCTCTCCTGCCATCCGCCACCTCTCGCGTCCAGCCCCGCTGAGGCAGTCGAATGTCACTGCCAAGCCAATGCACACACAACGCACCCGCCACCTGGCGGACGCTCACAGCATCACAAGCAGGGTTCGATATCGCAAATACAACCGTATGGGGAACTGGCATGAGTGTGGCTTAATCGTATGTATATTCTTGATGATGTGAAAGCCCTTAGTGTATTGACTTGCCTGCTGTCTACTGCCAATTCTCGGGCATTAGCCTCCCGTTTGCAGCTGTAAGTGAAGTGCAGCGGATAATATTGCCAAGTGCTCCGAGTACCTTACACAATAACTTGTACATTTCGGTGTATCCACCTCACTGATATGGCCGTGTGGACAACATCATGTCCAATCGGATCATGGGTGCTGCCCCAGGCACTCAGGCTCATGCGTGAGTTTTAGATTTCCCTGAACTATACTGCCGCAAACGTCAAGAGTCGATGGGGCCACTGACCTGCAAACTTACTGGTGTCTTGGAAACCAGTAGCGCAAGAGGACCTTTAGACTAACAAAGACAATGCTCATAAGCAAACGCTATCATTATTGACAGCTGTGTGCTTAGCTTCCCTGTGACCTGCCTTCATACCTGGATCGGGGCGGCCACCCGAGCCCGGCCTCCCGCCACTGTCGGGCCTTCCGCCGCTGCCGGGCCTTCCCCCGCTGCCGGGCCTTCCCCCGCTGCCGGGTCTTCCCCCGCCGCCAGGACGTCCCCCGCTGTCGGGTCTTCCTCCAGTGCCGGGTCTTCCTCCGCTGTCGGGCCGTCCCCCGCTGCCGGGTCTTCCCCCAGTGCCGGGTCTTCCCCCGCTGTCGGGCCGTCCTCCGCCGTCCGGCCTTCCGGACGCCCGGTCTTGGCAGATGCGCTCGGCGTACAGGGCGCCATCCAGGAACTGCACGCCGCTGCGATCCAGGTCGTTGGCACGCACCCCAGACAGCAAGCACGAGGCTTGCCGGTCCCGGCCCTGCAGATAACGCCGCGCGTGAGGCCGGTCACAGGTCGTCGCGAATGACCTCCGCTCGGGTAGTGGCGTGCCGTTTGGACGACAGTGGCATGTTAACTACAATGCACATCACTTACAGCCAATGTGGAAGTGTTCAGAGGTATGGTGCTTGTTTGGACAGTGAGCAGTGCATCGCAGTTAGGAGCTTGTACGGAATATAAATCTACATTCATTTTCGCTAGGCCTCGCCGGATGTAACCAGGCAGTCTTAATATGAGCTAATAAATCAGAGGTACCAAGCTGGTAAGACGGATCCCTGGTCCTGGCAGAGCCATGAAAGAATAAAGAGCGTCCCAGCGCACGTGCCATCACTGACCGTGGCGAGGAAGGAGTAGGAGGCGCAGTTGAAGTCGCGCTCGCGGTCGCAGGCCTCGCGGCATCGCGAGTCGCTGAACTCGGACACCGCCTTGTGCGTGTACACCAGGAACACGTCGCGGTCCTCGTTCCGGTACGAGCACTCTCGGAACTCTGCAAGCGATGGCGAGAGGCGTCAGGTTGATGCGGTCCAAGCCGCATGAAGGAGACACCGGTGCTGCCGGCGGCCGTCCTACCGCCCACATCGAAAGTTCGTCTGACTGGAACTCGCATCGCTCGTCTGGAGCAATACACCCCTGCGCCCCACACACGGCGTTACACAGACATGCGCGTTGTTCTGTGCCCTGTTTGGCATCGCAGCTCTGGTGGTGAGCACATGGCACGCCCGTGCCGTGTTGCTCACCCCTGGCGCACTGGTTCTCGAAGTAGTCCCTGCCGTTGGTGCGCCTCAGCGCTCGGGGAGCGCTCTGTCTGTTCTCGCGACTTAGCAGGCACAGCCGTTCTCTGTAGTCGTACGTGACGGATCTGGCAGGCAGGGCAGCGCGTCAGTACACAGCACCACATCACGCACAGCTTGTACCTCGAGGTTTACATGTGCGTCGAGGCGCACCACCTGTGTTTCAGAATTACGTTACGCGTATGTCAAAACAATGCGTGACAATGTTGGGAGCACAGTAGGACACGTTGGTGCGTGTCGGCAAAAAGTAACTGCACTGACCTGCAGTCAAATCTGGTCTCCTGCAGACACTCGTCCTGGCACTCGAGCTTGGTGACGTCACGGACTAGCCTGTCCTCCCGCACGGACAGCTCGGCGTTCACCAGTCGCTCAAATGTGTACAGTTTGCCGCACCCTCGACCTGTCGGCAAATTTGGAGACCGCTGCTGACAGCTGCTCTGACGAGCGTGGCGGTTTGGACAGCGCTTATTACCGTTGGTTAGTTGCAGAGTGGATGCCAGTATCGCGAACGCTTCTCTGCAAGGGGTGAAGGTCGTGATTAATGCAGCGTTAGCGTCCACCCCTGCAGCCCATTCCCAATCGGTTAGAGCACCTGCCTCCTGACCTGTACGTGGCGGAGTGTGTGGGTTCGAGTTGCCGCGGTGCTGGCTATTTGCCGCAGGCTTCAATGGCCTGTGGCTTTGACCCTTCAAGCAATTAAAATGTTTTGACTATTTTGCTTTAGTGTATAATTTAGTTGCTCTGATGTCAGTGGCATGGAGCCACATCAAGTTCTTCTCGTCCGGATAATCTACACCCACTCCAGCTCCGTGGATAACGACGATTAAGGGCGCTGGACTCACACCAAAAAGTTCTGCATCGCGGTATTCTGGAAAATGCTCTGAAAAACATCAACTGACGTTGATGCCCAAACAGTGAACTCAGCCAGCAACCACAGCCGTGATCAAACACGCATAACCTTGCACTTTAACCAAGTGCATGGTCGAAAAACGCATCCACACCAGCAGGCGGCACTCGCCCCGAACGCGCCGCTGGGCGGTCGCCGTGCTCACTTCTGGGGCAGATCTTCTGCATGAAGCTGACGCCGGGCGTGTCGGTGAGGTCGCGGGGGTCGACCTCGATGTTCTCGCGCAGCTCGAGGGCCGAACAGCGGGCTTCGCGCGCCCGCCGGTCCCGCCCGCGGTGCTCCAGGTTGAAGGCCGAGCAGCGTCGAGACCGGGTGCACCTGAGGTCACCACGAGGGGTGTTACGGCCGGGTGCACCTGAGGTCACCGCGAGGGGGTGTCACGGCTGGGTGCACCTGAGGTCACCGCGAGGGGGCGTTATGGTCGGGTGCACCTGAGGTCACCGCGAGGGGGCGTTATGGTCGTGTGCACCTGAGGTCACCGCGAGAGGGCGTTATGGTCGTGTGCACCTGAGGTCACCGCGAGGGGGCGTTATGGTCGTGTGCACCTGAGGTCACCGCGAGGGGGCGTTATGGTCGGGTGCACCTGAGGTCACCGCGAGGGGGCGTTATGGTCGTGTGCACCTGAGGTCACCGCGAGGGGGCGTTATGGTCGTGTGCACCTGAGGTCACCGCGAGGGGGCGTTATGGTCGGGTGCACCTGAGGTCACCGCGAGGGGGTGTCACGGCTGGGTGCACCTGAGGTCACCGCGAGGGGGCGTTATGGTCGGGTGCACCTGAGGTCACCGCGAGGGGGCGTTATGGTCGTGTGCACCTGAGGTCACCGCGAGGGGGCGTTATGGTCGGGTGCACCTGAGGTCACCGCGAGGGGGTGTCACGGCTGGGTGCACCTGAGGTCACCGCGAGGGGGCGTTATGGTCGGGTGCACCTGAGGTCACCGCGAGGGGGCGTTATGGTCGTGTGCACCTGAGGTCACCGCGAGGGGGCGTTATGGTCGTGTGCACCTGAGGTCACCGCGAGGGGGCGTTATGGTCGGGTGCACCTGAGGTCAACGCGAGGGGGCGTTATGGCCGGGTACATTGAAGGTCGAGGGGAGGGGGTGAAATGCAGCTCTGAGCGTGGCGCGTGAAGGCCAAGATAACGGGGATGTATTGGGATGAAAATGTGATTTTAGGCTGACGGAAGCAGACGACAACGTGCTTAATGTTCTTTAACAGGGGAACATTAAGCTCGCGGCATTAAGTTGGTGGCCTAGGAGCCCCTGGCATGTAATGTGGCACTGAAGTGTGTTACAAAGCGTTGTCCCCTCTCCCAAAAAACTAAACAGATGGAATACACTACTATGGATTTAGTAAGTAATGACAGCGGCTTATGCTTGGCGAAGTGGCGACTTAGAAAGTAGATGTACCCGTCGAAGCCATAACACGAAACACGTGGATAGTACCTGAATTGCCGTTAGTGCCAAGCCATGTTGTACTCACTCCCTGGTGCATTCGGCCATGATGCCGGGGTTGTCGAAGTCCGAGACGAGCTCTGAGCCCCGGATTTGTCGCATCTCCACGCCCGTAATGAGCTCGTACTGGTCACAGTCGATCCCGCCTGTCCCACGGAGGCACCAGAGTCATTCACTGCGAAGGACTATGATGGCGTTTCGGCCACAGCACCACACCATAGTGTGTGTTGACAAGGTTTTCATGCAATTGGCTGACTGGAGCGGTCAGAACACGATATACATAACAGGAAAGGGAATCAGCTGATCATATGCATTCTACGGCTAATCATGAGTATCATTATTTAAGTTGACACCGGTTTGACGGTGCCTGATCTGTGTGCATGAAACCTTCGTGTCACATCTATGCTGTTTGAAAACACACTTGCATCACAAAACGGAATCGGAAAAAGATGGATGAGCATCGAAAAGAGGCGAGTTGCATAGCTGTATACACGAGTAGCGGTAATATCCAGCGATGTGCAACAAAGCCTGCCCAGATATGTCAGCCAGATGTGATCTAAACAGACCGGCTCACAACGGTCAAGTAAGGAGTGTTGGAGGAGGGGCGCAAGGCGCCTGCCGATGCTGATCCGATGTTAAAGACACCAAGGGAAATAAGACAGAAATGATCGCGCAGTGGCGGGGGAGATTTGCAATTAGACTAAGCGCTGTGGAAGAGGAAGGACGGATGCCTGAAAAAAACATCAGTCATATGGTAGTAAAAGGTATGGAGAAACCACAAAAAATATGGAGTAATCGAGCAAGACTTAATCTCTATAAAAATATGAAGATTAAGTACAGGACATAAGAAATAGGTTGAAAGGGTAATACCACCACCCAAAAATGGTTATAGGATGCTACAAAGTAACGATTATTGAGCTGTAGCCGGCCGTTCACCACAACTAGTACAAATACGTCAAGAGCAATTCTCAAGCAGATCCTTTCAGCCAAAGCATAGCCAACGGCCTTCAGCAAGATGCATCGGCCTGAAGAAAGCACTGATGGCTTACTCTGTGGCTGTTTCCGCCCTCCATCGGCTTACTCCGATTCTGGTCGCGACTTAGAGCGGGCTTAATCCACTCGGCGCTGGTGTCGTTGCCGGTCGGAGACAGCTCGGGGAACGGCTGCACGCCCGCCACCTGGCGAGTCCGAGCGACCGTCTCGGCAGCCGGGGGCGGGCCCGGCTGGGGCGGAGCCGACGGGGCGACTGGCCAGCGCCAGCCCGTAACTGGCGGAGGCGCCGGCGGGCCGCGGCGGACGGGAGGGAACAAAAGCGACGGGGTGGGAGCGCGGCGGGTGGGCCCGGCGCTGTTTAACACATACAGGGTCCGGCGCCGGCGAAACGGGGCCCGTCCGCCTGCAGGGAGCGCCATGTTCGCACCTCCCGGCCGCCCGCTGTCTGGTCGTCCGCCGTCCGGCCGCCCACCATCTGGTCGCCCACCGCCGGGTCTACCGCCGTCAGGTCTGCCGCCATCAGGTCTGCCGCCATCAGGCCTGCCGCCATCAGGTCTGCCGCCATCAGGCCTGCCGCCATCAGGCCTGCCGCCATCAGGCCTGCCGCCATCAGGTCTGCCGCCGCCGCCAGGACGACGACCCACGCAGTCCCGCTGGTAGAAGTCCGTCCCGGCGCGTGACAGATAGGCCTTCTCACCGGCCGAGACTGAAACAGAATCATCCCGCTGTTGTTACCGACAGAGCAAGTATCGGCGACTTGACCGGCACCGAACCGACCATGAATAGGATAGTGAGCTTTAATAAATCTAATAGAGTGGCTTTTAATGACTAATCAACGATCTCGAGGTCTGAGGGTAGTGCTATTTACACGAAGAGCCTTAGCACGCCTGTATCTCCCGCCCAGTAGACGCCGTTCACTTCTCAGCTCCGTCGCATTCGTCCAGCAGATGCCACCCGAACTCAAATTCATGCTCCCAGCTCCGTCGCATTCGTCCAGCAGACGCCACCCGAACTCAAGTTCATGCTCCCAGCTCCGGAAATTTGTAGCACTCACTCTCATCGTCTCCGCTCAGCAGACACTGTCCGGCCGTGGTGTACAGAGCGAACGAGCGGCACACGAACTGGCGGTTGTTCGTGCAGAGCCGCTCGCAGTCCGTGATGCGGTCCACGCGCGGGATCGTCAGGTCGATGTAGCGCGGGTACTTGTCCGTGGTCGGCACGTAGTCGCAGCGCGTGTCCGCTGCGGGTGCGACGCTCGGGTTAGCGGGCGTGGCGTCTCGCGCTGGACTTGTAGTGAAGTTCTGCATGAGTGGTGGACAGCAATAGTAACAGACAGCAGACGTCCGTGTTTCGTGAAGGAAACATAGCTAGCTGTCCAAGACGATAAATACCATACTGCACCATCTATCATGATCATCCCATCTCCACCCCACACACCCCACACCCTCTCCCTCTCTCTCCCTCTCTCCTTCTTTCTTTCTTTCGCGCTCCCTCACCAAGTCGATTTTGTTTTACTTCGCTCTTAAACCTTCGACCCTCTCCCCAAGTGTGCCCCCTGCACGAGCTTCATTGCACCTTCGCCAGTCCCCAGGCCTCAGTCTCACGCCTAAGCCCCACGCGCCGCGTCCCGGTCCTCACCGCCCAGACACTGGTTCTCTAGGTACTCGACGCCTCGGCCGGCTTCCACGTAGTCGTCCGGGAACTGGCGCCGGCTGGCCCTGCTCAGGCGGCACTCCAGCGTCTCTGCGTCGAAGGTGGCAGACCTGGCCGAGTCGTGGCGGTGCGTCACGCCTGGTGCCGCGACACGGCGCGCTCCAGCGGGAGCGACGGGGAGGGTGTGACGCAGCGAGCACATAGGTGCGGACGTCTCTAACTAGGGTACAGAACGCGGGCCGGAGGGAGCGGTGTTGCGAAACCGCCGCTGCCCAACGGCCACTGAGCAGGCTGTGGGGTTTAATGGCGTAACAAATACTAGCGTGAAAATATTCAGACTCAATTACAGCCTCAGCGACCATCTGTTCACAAAACTGAGGTTGGCTGATGGAAAGGCTTTATTCAGACACAACACATACCTGTTAGTGCCCAAGCGGCTTATGTTGTGCATGTCGCAGCTATACACACGTGATCTCTGCGTTGTGGATGCGTGGCTGGCCCTGCCGCGAACGGTGGCCGGCGGGGGTGCCTACCTGCAGTTGTCAGCCAAGCAGGCGTTCTGGCAGTCCTTGCGGTTAGGTACCGCCCTCAGCACACGGTCGTCGTGGTCTCTCAGCTGCATGCCTGGCACACGCTCGAATGCCCAGGTTCGGCCGCGGCAGCTGGTGGCGGCGGGCCCTGCGGGTAGCCTCCTCCCGTTACGACAGCTGGTGGCGGCGGGCCCTGCTGGTGGCCTCCTCCCGTTACGACAGCTGGTGGCGGCGGGCCCTGAGGGTAGCCTCCTCCGTTACGACAGCTGGTGGCGACGGACCCTGCGAGCAGCCTCCGCACGCTACGAATCCTGCGGGCAGCCTCCTCCCTTTACGGACCCTGCGGGGAGCCTTCTCCAGTTACAGATCCTGCGGAGAGCTTCCTCCAGTTACAGATCCTGCGGGGAGCTTCCTTCCGTCGCGGGCACTGCCCTTCTCCCGTTACGGACGGCGCCTGGGGATGCTGTGGGCACCGGTTTCGCAGTTGTTCGCGTTGGTTGCAGAGTGGGAACTGAAAAAGGGTCTTCGAGAGAGAGACCTGACAGTCCCACAAAAGCGGCCAAAACTGAGAGCGTCCAGCCGGGTCGCAGCTGTGACCTCACGGCCCCGCGGTCAGATGTGACGATGTCGACGAGACTGTGCTGTATGACGTACGGTCCTTCAGAAGAGGCGCCACCACAAGCAAAGCACCAGGTACCGATCGCGGCCTGTTTAGGGCACATAAGGGCAAGTGGTGCAGGCATGTTCGGAATGGCAGAGTCTGCAGACAACTTTGGGTGTCGTTCACGCGTATGTTAACACGAGAGGGTGTTTCAGAAGAATCAGGTTGAATCGATGCCACGTGCTCGTATTTCGTCCTCCATGCTGGAGCGCCAGCGATGTTTTATTTAGTAGGTCATGTGTGAACATCTCTTTTGGGCGGTAAACCTTCAGTCGGCAAATCAGGCCATTCAAATGACCTAGTTTTCAGACAAAGGCGTTTCCAGCCTCCAGATAAAAGCAAGCATTTCATTTCCGGACGACAACGCATAACGTAAGATGTCAATAAGATGTCAATAAAAAACTTGGGTATTTTCAGCGTATAACATTGTACGTCACGTCTCTGCCCGCATGACATAGGAAACAAGACCTGAACACGCCTCTGATTTCTCTGAGCTGGTTACGGAACGCACCCATCGTTATAAATCAATGAATTGATGGGCACCATTTTGGCTGCCCAATCACCGTGATCGTGTTGCGGCTCGAAATGCAGTTAGGTAACGGGGGGCGAGGTCGTGTCGAAGCGTATTTGGTTAGTGCCTGAAAGTAGGTCACCGACCGTGAACCGGACTGGTGTAAGTGGTGGGAGCGGGGGGGGGGGGGGTTGATTGATCATGCATACTGCCAGTCATCGAAAGAACTATGTTTTATGAGCGAGTTGTTTGACTGTTTTGAGTGATTGGGTAGAGCTTATTTGCATTTGTTTTACTCGAATATTGCACTGGTACCTACGGGTTAAGGGGGGCTGCGACGCTAACGAAAGTTGTTGATCTAACAAAAAAAATACTGCGAGCGAAATTTGCAGATTACCATCTCTTTACGTGAGCCAGACTGTTCTGCGAGTCATCAGTTAAGGTCAACCCCATTCCCCTGCACGAATTGTCTAATTTTGAAGCGACGATGAGGCTGCAATGCATTGTTGAGGACTCAGCCGACCGCTGATCACGAAAAACGGCCTCCCTCGTGCCTCGCGTGCGACAGCAGGCATTGCGTTCACGCCTGAGCCGTGCGCGTGCTCAAACGCTATCGGCCTCCTCCATGCATGAAAAACCGATCCGTGGCCATTCATTTTTGACCGTGATGCACGGCCTCGCCGAGCCCACGCTTCTCATCTGGGTCAGGTCACGAGATCAAGGGTGCAGAGGCGCACACGCAGCCGGCCGGTCAGCCACGGACCCGAGCCTGAGCAATGGCCAGAACCGTGACCTCTGCACGGGCTGTCGTAGATATCAAAGCTCTATTATGTTCTGTGTGGTGTGATTTAACTCGCGCCTACTTTGGGTCGGGTTCTGAATATGCACAATAGTTACATATTCAGACAATACGCCGTAATGATATCATCGCCGACTGGTAATGGTCGCGCTGTAAATGACAAGTAAGGCGACAGGCAGACCCAATCTCATGGCAGCGTTCCGGAATCCCACAGCTGTAACAATCATGTCGCACAAAACTTGTTTCGTACCTATGTCCCCTTGAGTTCCAAATAACCAAAGGGCAATGGCGGATTTTGCCCATGGCAAGACTTTAAAATTTCATATCATATGAAATGCTCGGCACCACAGCCACATTATACATTACTTAGATCACAAGTCCTGATCATGAAACAACGCCACTGTTGCGTCCTTTTGTCATGGAGCCGAAAGCCCCGGAAGCCCTCATCTTCTGCCCCGGTCCCGGTCCTGCCATCCTGGGCGGGCGGGCCGAGACGGAGGCTCCTCCTCCAGCCCGGGGCAATGACCGTCAGCGCCCGTCAGCCAGCCAATCCGCGCCTTTCAACCAGCTAATCCCGCACGTGCATAGAGGCGGGAATCTACCCGCCTCCAGCAGACACTGCCGGCTAGCACCGGCGGCTCGCCGCCCGGGACAGGTATGTCGCCACTTCCGGTCTGCCGCCGGCTCGCCTCTGCGCCCCGGGCCGATTTACATGGTTAATGACTGTGCGGCGCGCCACCTCGGCAATTATCGCCGGCTAACAGCCGGGCGTGCCCCGCCGTTCCCCGCCAGGGGGGGAGCGGGCGGCGTCCGCGCCCGCCGAGCCGTTCCAGAGCTGCATAATGGATGATATCGGATGGCGGATAATCAAATCAGGCGGGTGCGATTGAGTGTGCCATGTCTGGTGTGGGTAACGGGATCGTTACGCTCTAGGCGACGGCACGGATTTTCGGACGCGTGACGGGTCTGTGCGTGTTAACGGCGGTATTTCTCAGGGGAACGTGTTCGCTCAGTCATCACGCGAGGTATGAGGATGGAAAATGGACAACAGCAGACAGTTGCAGCGATGAATCAGACTGAGCAGCATTTATCAGAACCAGAGCCTGACTCAAACCCAAGAAATCAACGGGTATCTAAGAGGAGCCCGAAAACTCCAAATAACCCAATCAAACATCGGCCAATTAAGTCCAATTTGCATTAAAAACCGACCAGTCTTGCCACCATTATCAGACATAACGGCCCTGGCATAGGCAATTCTATTCGGTGAAATCCAGACAATACCGTAAAACCAGCCGGTGCGGTCAAACAACGCAATTCAGCTGAGCTGCTGCACTATTGTTCAGACCTCGCACGAAACAAAGCACGGCGGCGGCATCAGCTGCCGGTTGCGTCAGCTGCCGCCACAGCCCGCGACCCCGTGTCGGACCGAACCGTGGGCTTCGGCGTTCCTCGACCTTCCGGCCCGGCGCGGGCGGACAAAGCGCACTGCAGGGAGGGGCCGCCGCCCGCCACCGCCACCGCGCCGCCGACCGATTGGTTCCCAGCGTGACCGGCCGTCCGATCCGGTCGGTATCGTCTGACCGATCAACCGATGTCCGGACCGGCGGCCGTTGACCGCCGCCGTTCGCGCCGGCCACACCCCTGTCAGCGGCCGCGCCGCTCAGCTGCGCGTGCTGTTCGGACGGGTTTACGAGCGTCTGTGCAAACACGCACGTGTTTACTGGCAATGTAATGAGGGGGGGGGGGGGGGGCTGAGATTGTGATCTGTACGCTTTCGGTTGGAATGGTAAACCAGGCTCCTTTTGTTGCCTGGTCCAAATTGTTTAAAGGGTGGGCGTGGTCCACACGGTTTTTGCGAACCACCTAATAGTTACACGATGCGAATTTGCGACGTATGCGTGAACTATGGGTATTTATGTTCCCGACACTATCGAAAAAGGGACGACACATGCGGCAGGCAACCCCTTCAAAAAAACGGGGGTGCCTCGGCAGCCTCCCATAAGCTGAAGCATTGCACGTTGCGAGCGCCACAGCTCAGACATCCTACGCCGACTGACCCATGAGGCAGATTTTCTCGAAGTAGTTGAAGCCCTCCCTGGCCTGCAGGTCCTGCACCCGGCCTTGCGTGTTGCGGTCCAGCCGGTAGCAGCGCTGGCTGAAGTAGTCGATCACCAGCGCCGGACATTCGGTGCCCGTCTGCAACGGCCCACCTCAGGTTATCCAGCAGGAGCGGGCAGGGTCTGGGCACGACCTGATGTCGGTCAGTGCACGTCGCTGGCCCACGTGTCAGCTTCAGATGCACGTGCTGCAGCTGGGCGGAACCGTGGTTAAAGCAGGAGTCGTTTCCTTTGAAGACAAAGTGCGATTTCGTGCCACGCACCCAGGTGGCCGGTTCGATGCCCGTCGCTCAGGTGGGGGTGGGGAAGCAGCAATTGACCCCCGGAAATCACAATAACTAATACAGCTAGACACCAGTTCATAGGGTGTGTTGCCCTGCACGTGAACTTACCTATGTCGCAACGTGAGGTTCCTAGTTCGTGACCTTCGGATAATATAAGATCCGTCGAGGTCAGCCCCAGACCTTCCCATGCAACCACCGTGACCTCAGATACTTTTTCTGAGCAAAAGATAACTGGTGTTCATCTAAGGTCCTATCTTTCCTGACCTTTAGAAGGTCATGGTGACCAAAATCATATAAGACTGCTTCGATTTTTGGATGTGAATAAGCATCAGGGATTACGCTAGGTGGTACGTTGCTAAGAACAACGTATTGACCTGGAGCATAAAAGGTCAGTGACCCACTCCGAACTTAAAGTAGTCCACGGGAAATGTATGATGCGGTCCCTTTTAGGAAAGAATTCAAAATGAGCACTAGATACTATCCCGTACAGCAGCCTTTCGTGTAAGAGTGGGTTGGTTTTGACCTTGGCCTGACCTTTGTACCCGACCCTAGGTCAGTGGAATTCCAGCGTTCTTCTTAAGTTAGCGAATTAACGATGGTTCTAGCAAATAATTCGAGCACTAACGGCAAGCTTATACTTGGGCGTCGACCAGACGCAGCAAAATGAGAAAATAGGGCTGGGGTCATCACATGCTGTCGGCCGTACCCACCTCATCACGCTGGTCACTGCACGGGGTGATGATGCCCTGGTCAGCCTACCCACCTCATCACACTGGTTACTGCACGGGGTGGTGATGTCTGGTCAGCCGTACCCACCTCATCACACTGGTCACTGCACGGGGTGGTGATGCCCTGGTCGGCTGAGGGCGGCAGCGGGAACGGCTCCTGGTTGGCGCCCCGCAGAATATGACCGGTGACCTTCTCATACGTCAGCACACCGTCGTCGCATGACTCTGTAGGAGACAGGTCACGTTACGCATCACTAGCACTGGACTGGCTGTAAAACGTGTGCCTCTGACGTGGGACACGTTTAACAATGTCCTCAGTTTATGTCGCCGGTGATGTCTGACGCCGCCCACATTATTTCTACCGAAAGGCAATGCATCATTCAGATGGATCACGATATGATCTCGAATCAATGGCGCTGAGCGAACTCATCGCATATCGAAGCTCCCAGAAGACAGCGCCAGTATATACCGTTGAATGCAGAGGAGGTCAATGATGAAGTGAGGAACTATACATTCCCGAAGGCACACGGTATCTGCCGACCGCACCAGCTTATGTCCACGCGACCCACGCATTCGAGCTCCATGCCTCACGTGAGCTCTACCCCCACCCCCACCCATTCCCACTGACTGTCCACCCCTCTTCGCCGCCCGGTCCGACCCACCAAGCGTGCAGACGCGCTGGCTGGTGACGGCGCCCTCCATGGCCGGCAGCTCGACTCGGCCCAGGCTGACGAAGTCGTCCCCGCTCAGGTAGCAGCGGTTCTTGACCCGGTCAAACGTGTACATGCGACAGACGAAGCGACGCTCGCGGGTGCAGGCGGCCTCGCAGGCGGCTGACGACTCGGCGAAGTCCAGCGAGTCCGGCGTCAGCACCATCACGCCCCGCTGGGGAGGGTCGTACCGACAGTCGGGCAGCTCTGGGGAGGAGGTCACAGCGTCAGCACCATCACGCCCCGCTGGGGAGGGTCGTACCGGCAGTCGGGCAGCTCTGGGGAGGAGGTCACAGCGTCAGCACCATCACGTCCCGCTGGGGAGGGTCGTACCGGCAGTCGGGCAGCTCTGGGGAGGAGGTCGCAGCGTCAGCACCACGACGTCCCCATGGGGAGGGTCGTATCGGCAGTCGGGCAGCTCTGGGGAGGAGGTCACAGCGTCAGCACCATTACGTCCCGCTGGGGAGGGCCGCACTGGAATTCGGGCAATTCTAGGGAAGGGGTCACAGAGTGAGCACCAGCAGGCTATCGCATCACTGTGCAAAGTTTTGGTGACTGCAGTCTGTTCGTTTCCAAGTGAGGGCAGTCCGGTGCAGCCAGAACAGGCGATTCATGGTGAATATGTGTCGAACCGCCAAACGGACCTTGTCAGCAGGCACAGACGCCGGTTGGACTGCGGTCCACGCTAACAGTTATCTTCTGCTGATGAAGGTGGCAATGCAGTGAAGCTCCAGGACATTTAGCGGGTGAAGCACGGGGAAAATACCCCAGTACCCACACCCGGCCCATTCCCCTTCCCCACTGGCTGGTTACCTCCACCCTTCCTCCACCCACGTGGTCGTGGTGGGGCTAAAACGGCTATGGAAAGAGTTCCATAGCTGTCTTAGTTAGTCCATCATGGGCCGGTGTACCCCGATAATATATGGCAGTCAATTTACCACATCTTTTGTGTCTTTTTCCTCTGAACGCAATGATAAGGTGACCTCCTAAATCCAAAGAGAAATCCGAATTTCGGGGTAAGTTAGGCAAACCCCTATTGCGGGTATGTCACGCCAAGGGCACGACCCCGCTCCAAATTGCTTAACACGCACTCGTATGGGAGTCAAATTGACCCTCAGGGGTTTCCAGAATGGTTTCCGAATAGCGCGTTGTCGCTGCGCCAAATTTTGCGTAGTTGTAGACAATGTAGTAGCAAATAGTTCGGTATGAAAATTTAGATGAATCTTGTAAGGCCGCTGATCTATGGCAGGTCAAAGTCAGGCCATGGTTTCAGCGAAGTCAATTTCCAGAGATCGTTCAATCTGATGCAACGGCGGAGTGTTAGACGAAGCCACACATCTCTGAGATGCTTTCTTAGGCAGCACAAATATTGAATGTGCAAATTATGTTGATCAAAGGTCAGGTATGAAGGTCAGACCAAGGTCAAAACCAACGTGTTTTACTACTGTAGGGTTTGCTGTATGGGATAGTTTCTGTTGCTTATTTCGAATAGACTTCTCAGAGGGCAGAATAGGTTATTAACCTAAAATGACCCAGGTCAACATTTTGTTTTTTGAAACATGCTGCCTATCGTAATCTTTGTCGCTTATTCAAATGCAAAACTTGGAGCAGTCTTGTATGATTTTGTTCACCATGATCCTCAAAAGGTCAAACAAGGTCACTGACCTTAAAGGAGCATGTGACCTTTTGCTTAGCAACAGGCTCTGGGGGCACTTTGTAGGCCGAGCTGGAATTTGACCTTGTTGGACCTTATTTGATCCAAAGGTCATGACCTAGGAACCTCAAACTTTGACCTCTGTGACTTCATATACAGATCAACATACTCCGTAAATTTCATGTTTCGGGTAAATTTATATTCATAATCAATACCCTGTAAATATGCATAAAGATTTTTATATATATATATATATATATATTGGAATATTTTGGCAGAATTCTTTCTTTGATACATGTTTGATTAAAGATAACTGCTGACTCAGCATTGACGAGCCTTTTGATGCATCGTCCTAGTTTCCGGGCCTTTGACTTTGCGTCATCGCTTAGATTAAAGATGGTTCGCACAAAATTACTCATATATTCATCACTCTGGTCACCAGGGAAACTAGAACGATGCATCAAAAGGCTCGTCAATGCTGAGTCAGCAGTTATTTTTAATCAAACATATATATATATATATATATATATATATATATATATATATATGTATATATATATGCATATATTCACAAATTCATAAAAATATAAATGTAAAGATAAATACAAATTTATGAATTCATGCCCTGTAAGTTTCATGTTCACGTACAAGTCAACATAGCCTATAGCTTTCTTAGTTTCCGAGATCTCAGGGGGTCAAATTGACCCCCCCCCCCCCCACATCCGAGCGAAAAGTATCTAGCCGGTCACCAGGGCGTGTGTTAGGCACCTGCCCTTCTCCTCTATCTCGAAGTCTTCTATATGTAGTCACTCTATTACAGTCTTCCGAACTTAGCCGTCCCTCCCCCAGGTGCGTGATCATGAAAACGGGTGCAGAGCTCCGGTCGCCCCTCCCCCCCCCCCCCCTCAGCCCCAGACGTTTGGACACTTACGCCTGGCGCACTGGTTCTCCAGATATTCGATGGTGCTGCGGCCGCGGCGGAAGGCCTGTGGCTGCGTGCGCCGGTCCTCCTTGCTGAGCCGACACACTCGCTCCACGCTGTCGTAGTCGGCTGACCTGGCCATCCGAGAAGCACGGGGTCAGGCGCAATAGGGTCAGGGCCGGCCTGCATCCCACGCACGGGCTTCTGCATAAGTGACCGCACTAGAAGAGACAGGGCACGTCCGTTTCTGGGCTGATAGGGTATGGTATCTGTTGGAACGAGAGCGTCACAGCACGATGCTGCGTGGTTTGCAGAATGCCTCGGCTCACATACATGAGAAAAAGCAAGATACCAAATGTGTTTACCAAGTATGTGTGGCAATAAGCATGCATGCTATTCCGGCCCTGAAATACATGATGCGCGATGCTAATTCTATTACGCCATGAAGCACTAGTGCTACTCCAACAAAGGTGTGCCCACTGTGACCGCACCGCGCGGACAGCTCTCTAGTCGCCGGGCCCCCGCTAGCCGGCGGCGGTCGATGACTGCCGACCTGCAGTTGAAATCCTTCTCCGTGAGGCAGGCGCGCTCGCAGTCGACGCGACTCTGGACCGAGGGCATCTCCTTCGTGTCGAACCCATCCAGCATGGCGCCCAACACGCGCTCGAACGCCCAGAGCCGGTCGTCACCGCACATCTCGGTGAACTCCTCCGCCACTGCCGAACAGCGCGGGCCCGGTTTCACATGCGCACATGGTCACCAGAACACACAGTTCCGACTCTGACTATGAGTCACGCACGGCCAGTCGACGTCAGGAGACGACATGGTCTTGGACTCTTACTCAGTCGCATGCATAGTCACCCACTGTCAGGAGACAGGACTGGCACTGCTCGTGCGTACTATTTATTCCCGTCGGAAAACGGTAGTGGGTCATGAATTATGAAACCCGTCGCTTAGCGTACACAATACAGTGGTGGCCGTTATACCCAACGCATATAAGCGGCAGAGAACGACAGGCGGATCCGCACAGGCTGCCGAGCCAATGCTCCAGGCGGCGGGCCGCCCGGAGACAGATCTCACCGCCCCGGAGACAGATCTCACCGTCCCGGAGACAGATCTCACCGCCCCGGAGACAGATCTCACCGTCCCGGAGACAGATCTCACCGCCCCGGAGACAGATCTCACCGCCCCGGAGACAGATCTCACCGTCCCGGAGACAGATCGCAGATCTCACCGCCCCGGAGACAGATCTTACCGCCCCGGAGACAGATCTCACCGCCCCGAAGACAGATCTCACCGCCCCGGAGACAGATCTCACCGTCCCGGAGACAGATCTCACTGCCCCGGAGACAGATCTCACCGCCCCGGAGACAGATCTCACCGCCCCGGAGACAGATCTCACCGCCCCGGAGACAGATCTCACCGCCCCGGAGACAGATCGCAGATCTCACCGCCCCGGAGACAGATCTCACCGCCACGGAGACAGATCTCACCGCCCCGGAGACAGATCTCACCGCCACGGAGACAGATCTCCTCGTAGTAGCTGGTGCCTTCTTTGTCGATCAGATCACTCTCTCGAGTGGCGGACTCCAGGTCGTACGACACGCACCTGCCCTCCTCATAGTCTGGAACGAACGTCCGGGATGGTGTCACGCGTGGGAACAGGAGCAGCCTGGCCAGGGTGGGGGTGGTGGTGTCTGCAAGTGCAGGCTAGTTCACAGGTGTGTAATGGTGGGCGTGTTGTCACAGGCTCGCCGTGTGCATCTGCGCACACATTACGCACATCTACGCACGCTTGAGGTAGGATATGTTTTGGAATTTTGCTTGGCTCCGTGATAGAAATACCGCATTTTGTACAGAAAATTGATTCCGATAACCAGGGATTACCGTACGGTTCCGGTCAAGCACCAGCTTCTTATGCACGCAAGCCTGCCTCGGTGTTGACATAAAACCGGCATAGATGAGTTCACGCACTGTTACAGAAGCACCCATGCTGGTCCACTGCAGTCTGACGGTTCCGAGCCGATATACTGAACCCTTGCACCGCATACCGGGTGTGTGACTGAGACAGCGTCTGTTTTCTGAAGAATTTCGCTCAAATCCCCCAGCTCCCAAGGAGCAGCGGGGCAGTCCCGTTAGACTGTCCCACCGTACGTTGGTGTTCGGCGGTACAGCATGTGGCCGCGTTTGCTTTGCGAAGAATGTCTCGAAGTTAAGTATTGGGCTTGGCGGCGCCCACCCAACAAACGAGTACTTACGCTTGTCACGACCGCTTGATGATGGAAGCGGGATTGAGCTTTTCAGACTGTTGTGATCAAATGGCGACCGTGCAAAATAAATGGTAAAGACCTACGAACTAAATATCCCTGCTCCCCAGCTCTTGTTCCATTCACATGGAATTGGATTGGATTGGGTCACGACCGCTTGATGATGGAAGCGGGATTGAGCCTTTCAGACTGTTGTGATCAAATGGCGACCGTGCAAAATAAATGGTAAAGACCTACGAACTAAACATCCCTGCTCCCCAGCTCCTGTCCCATTCACATGAGCCGTACGTCCCTCAGCAGGAGGCGGACGCTTCCACCGTCGGTGACCGGAGGGTCAGTGGGGGCGGGGGGGGAGGGGGGAGGGATGGGGGACGGCCGCGCCCGGCCCGTAACCTCACCGAGCACGAAGCCGCTGCAGTAGGTGGCCTGGCTGCAGATCGCCGTGCAGTCCCGCAGCACGGGAGAGTTGGTGTTGACCAGCAGGTCGCGCTTCTCGGCGCCCGACGGCTGGAACGTGCGACCCACCGTCTTCTCGAAGGTCAGCGTGCCGCCAAAACATTGCGCTGCGGGCGGAACAGGGTCGTTAGAGGACACCTGCCACGCGGGACGGGTCCTGGAGGTCTCAGCGGCTGCAGCGACCTTGTAAAAGGGCGCATGAGCCATGCGATGACATATATTATATGTAGCTTGTAACATTATTGTTTGAGTTGTTCCCCACAGAGCAGAACAGGCACAGCTCGCAGTGCTTCATCCGCGTCATCACCTGAACAGGCGCACGGGTGTGGACGGTTGAATACCTTACGCCTGGACGAAGGTCAGTTGACTCCCCCTCCCCCCCCCCTGCGAAAACTAAGAGAGCCGAAGATGCCAAATTTACAGGGTGAATTATCATGTAGAAAAAAAATCACTTGTGTCAGCATTTGAGCCTCCTAGGTCATTGATTTTGGGTCAAATAAGGTCAAACAAGGTCAAACCCAGAGCGCTTTCCAAAGTGCCCCCAGGTCTCATCATCCAACAGTCTTAAACCTGGATACATGTTCTAAGCAAAAGGTCACTGGTGCTCACTTCAGGCTAGTGACCTTGTTTCAACGTTAGAGGGTCAGAATGACCAAATACCTGAGATTGCTAAGATTATTTTAAGATCTGAATCGGCGTCAAGGATTACGTTGGGTTATATGCTTCTAAAAAAGGTTGATCCGGGCCATACCAGGTCAGCGACCTTCTCTGACCTTTTGGAGGTTCGTGGAAGATGTCTGTTGCGGTGTCCGTTATCAAGAAATTGGAGATGAGCATCAGAGACTACCACATAATTACCAGTAAGATCGCTACACACATCGGGAACATAGGTCCACACATCTGCGGCCTGTCACACAATCCAGAGTTGAGCTGAGGTCACGATCAGCGATCCATACGGATCTGGCCGTTCACCGGCACGGATATCCGCTCAGCGCGGCCGGATCCGCGCCCACCCATTTGGCGGCCTGGTGGAATGTCAACGGTGTCGGAGCATCGGCCCGACCTGGTCAGAAGCCCGAGATCGGAAAGCAAAAAGTATTTTGAAAGAATTGAGCTTCAGGAGAGTTTGGTATGTGAGCTCTAGCAACGGTTAGAGGCTGCATATGCATTGACTGACAAGCACGAGGACGACAAGACCCTTCCCCGGCTAACCCGGAATGTCTGTGACAGGCTTACACTGGCCAGTCCCAACTCTCCATGTCTCCGCAGCTGCCGATCGTGTGGGGCGGGGCAGTGGGGGGGGGGGGGGGAGGGGTCCGCCCCAGCGCGGACGCTGGAGTGGCCTTGCGCTGATGACACACGGCCCGGTAACGAGCGGGGGCAGCCGGCGGGGCGGCGATCCGGCTGATCCGGCCTGGCCGCCGCTGCCGCCACCGCAGCCGTGACGTGCCGGTTTGCGCCCAGAGCCGCTCTGCCCGGCTCCGCCCGCTATGGTAGCGGGGTGCGGGGTTGCGGACGTCTGCAACTCTCCCAGCGAGTTGGTTTGGAAGCGAAGATTGATGCACGAACGCGCGGTAACTGAACCATAGCCAGGCTGGATGGGAAGCGATGTTTGGATGTGTTTTGCCTTTGTTCCAGTTTTGATGTCGCATGTGGAACGGTGCTTCTTATGGGCTGGAGGTTAATGCGACGCAAACTTCAACAATGTGAGGTCCGTATAACCTCGCTTACTCCAAATCCTCGCCGCGTGAGCTATGTAAAGTTGTTTATTCTGGCGTGCACTCACCATTTGAGATGTCAACTGAACAGATGACGACTAGAAGTGTTGTCCACAGTCTCCATACCATGTCGTCTTTCCGCCGCCCCACCTGCAAAGGCACGGAAAGGGCAGCGTAAGCATGGGTCACCATCAACACACCCAACCGGTCACGGGCTGATATTCGACGCATCTGAGACCGTCAGCAGAGGCTCACGATCTCGGCCCGGCGCCAAGGCTGCCCGCGGCGTTGACCGGGAGCGAGGGGACCGGTCCCGTGCAGTGAACCATCGCCGCCAAAGTCAACGTCCGCGCCGATCAGTGCTCGTATTTCACGGTTGTCTAACTCTGCCGGCGGCCACGCCCGCGGTAATGACGGCCGCGGGGCCGCGGGGGCCGGCGAGCTGCGCTGGCCGGGCCGGGCCGCGCCCGGCGGCGACCGCAGGCAGGCGGGGAGCGCAGGCAGGCGGGGAGCGCGCAGAGCGTGGACAGAAACAGACTGGGCCCGCAGAGGGCAGGGGCAGGGCAGAGTGACGTGGCGGTGGCGGGGCGTGGGGCTGGTGTGATGCACTGACGTAAGGGGAGAAGCGAACGGGCGCAGACTGTTGTCCAAGAGGTAGGGAATAAGAGGCAGAGACCATTGTCAGTTGAACGCTATGAGATATAACTGAGATCATGACCCGCTGATGTTGGTCACTTGAAAAGGGCAGTTCGGGAGCAGGAGTACACACGCATGTACCACACAGATTGGATGTCAGGCAATAGAAAGGTGGCCAACACAACATGCTTGGTGTGAATGAGAGTTCCCATCAATAGTGAATCTGATAATATGTTCCGAACTCGTTCCATTAGCTCGTCTATCTTCACTCTTCACTTCACTCCCGTCCCATTCGCTCGTATGTCTAATGTCATCACGCAAATCGAAAGCATCCAACTTACACGTGCTTGCCGGTGTAAGTGCCAGGTTCGAAACATAAATAAGCCTAGCGGTCAGAAGTACACTCTCAAAGGGAAACGGCATACACCTCGCACAAAACCGTGACCTATTTCACCTAAATTAAGTTTCAAGAACGCTCACGCCACTTATCGAGCGCAACGAGCGCTGAGCACGTCAAGACCGTGACGGTTCATGTTGCTATGTTGACCAGTCGGCTAGCGGTCGCCACCAGAGCGTCACGGAACCGGATGCGGGAGCGAAGCCGGGCGCATGTGCAGATATGCGGTGCAGTTACCGTTAGTACGGTACCGGACCAAGTTCTGCAAAATTTGCAAATCCTGTGCAGTTTGGGCGCGTTCTGTGTGAGTGTTGCACGTCTATATGCTAGCCGAGACTAGGAGCTTCGTGCAAATCCCGCATACTGAATATAATTTGGGACTGTTTAATGCATACGCACATCAGAAACTTGCTGGTACATTATGCCTTTGCTAGAACAAAAATAAAATTGTTTACCGAGCGAACTGAGCTCAAGTTTGCTGTGGCATCATATCTGAGGTGTGGTTAACGCTGCTGAAATGCAGGGAAGGAAACAGTCCTCTTCCGACGGCTTGCTATGCTGCGCCTTTCCTACCAGCCCTTACTCTAACTAACTCTAACTCCTAACTCCAGCCCTGCGCTGGCCGATGCGAGAGATCACCAATCCCGCTCTGTTTTGAGGTCAAAGGGTATTAGCGCCTGGCCAACTCGAGGCCGCGCCTGGCTGTGACGTCACAAGCGCATCACGGCCTCGGCGGGGGACCGTGCGGGATGTCATGCCGTTTCCAGGGGCAGGGGCGTACCCAGGGAGCCGACAGGAGGAGCTGGGGAAGGAGCTGAGTGATACCCGCGGCCGTACGGGCATGTGTGGTCTGCTGCTTGGTATTTGCTAATAAAGTACATATTTGGGCTGGATTCGCCACCGCAGTTTTCAATAAGAGTTTTGGGGGTTGAACAACGCGTTCGATCTCTCAGGCTACTGGGAGTTAACAAATCTAGCGCAAAACAACGCAAGGAAATAGAACCCACTGGACGGTAGTCAAGCTCGAGCCCCACATCGTGTACAGTCGTGGGGCAAACGGCTCTCTCCACCCGAGGTTCTCCACCCTCTCCGCCTGAGCTTCTCCACCCTCTCCGCCTGAGCTTCTCCACCCTCTCCACCTGAGCTTCTCCACCCTCTCCGCCTGAGCTTCTCCACCCTCTCCGCCTGAGCTTCTCCACCCTCTCCGCCTGAGCTTCTCCACCCTCTCCGCCTGAGCTTCTCCACCCTCTCCGCCTGAGCTTCTCCACCCTCTCCACCTGAGCTTCTCCACCCTCTCCGCCTGAGCTTCTCCACCCTCTCCACCTGAGCTTCTCCACCCTCTCCGCCTGAGCTTCTCCACCCTCTCCGCCTGAGCTTCTCCACCCTCTCCGCCTGAGCTTCTCCGCCCTCTCCGCCTGAGCTTCTCCACCCTCTCCCCCTGAGCTTCTCCACCCTCTCCGCCTAAGCTTCTCCACCCTCTCCGCCTGAGCTTCTCCACCCTCTCCGCCTGAGCTTCTCCGCCCTCTCCGCCTGAGCTTCTCCGCCCTCTCCGCCTGAGCTTCTCCACCCTCTCCACCTGAGCTTCTCCACCCTCTCCGCCTAAGCTTCTCCACCCTCTCCGCCTGAGCTTCTCCACCCTCTCCGCCTGAGCTTCTCCACCCCCTCCGCCTGAGCTTCTCAACCCTCTCCACCTGAGCTTCTCCACCCTCTCCGCCTGAGCTTCTCCACCCTCTCCGCCGGAGCTTCTCCACTCTCTCCGCAGCTTCAGTCCCCGATCATTTTATCACCACCAACAGCGCACACCTTTATCTGGGCTTGGCGGGTAGATGTGTAGTAGATGGGCGAGTGTTGGTCAAGCCCTGTCATGACCAGCCTATAGCAAGTCTCTTCTTCACCACATACGAGGTGTTATCGACAGCGGATTAAAGGGCTTTGAGACGTTTGTATTTTCTCTTACATACCGTTTTTGTTTCTGGAACAAACACAACAGTTTCATCCAGCGAAGTAAGCACGCGGGCATACGGAGCCAGAAAATAACACATCTAGAAGCGACAGCAGAGCTATCGTCATATATCACTTGACGCTCCGAATACTAAATTATCACAATGTATTTTGAACCACACGGACTATGCTCACACCGCATATATCTAAGCACTTAAACGACGTCCCGAATGTGTCTCACAAGGTTTGAGCTGACATAGAGCTGCTCAGCACGAACTTAACAGATTTATGCCACGAATGTTGCATTTTGGAGACAGAAAAGCTTGTTAAAAAGTAACTATATCCCTCTTACTAAAGCCGTTTCTACTATCGCCGTTGATGAAACCGGTGGCTCCCATATGCGCACGTCAAAAGTCGCATTGCTCGCTACGTTATCTGACCCCGAAAGCAAAAGGGTCGACAAAACTACACTAACGGCCGCGCAGTGAGGCGGCGCCACTTGCCGGTAGTTCTTGTCGCTACACCATCCATCGTCCCTGTCCAGGTGCCATCTACGGTGCACGCAAACGCAACCATTGTGCAAGCAACATGAAGTGTGATTAGCGAGAGGCGTCTACCTGATCCCCTCAGCGTCGAGGGTATATATCTTCCAAATCACCATGCAGACATGAGTGTCATATTATGGGCAGTATGGGCACAGCTCATTACCCTTTGACTTCCCTCACGCTGTGTCGCGAACCCAGCGAGAGAATTAAACGCCAGTGCTCTCACTAAACCGGCCGATGGTGTCTTGTGTTCGAAGCAAGTCTCCGGCACCGTGAGCGCATCACGCGCAGGCGGTGGGGGATAATGGAGGGGCAACGCTTTCTTACAGGCGATTAAGGCTCATAGTATAGATTTTCAAAGAGGTAATCTGCACAGCGGAGACATTGCTTAATTTGGAATACTACCACCGCAGTGGACACACTGGCATCAGCCTAACACCAAATGAGGATCTCCCTGTGATTAATTTGCATTGGCAATCGCTGGCGATTGCATTCTAGGTCTTGTTCATTCAAGTCATTCCGAACTAAAGACTCGTTTCATTTGTAGCGTAGATAACATCATACACCATAAAAACAAAAACCGGCCAACTTCGCTCGTTCAGAAACTTTGTTTCGAATGGTTTGTTCAGATGACTTAGCGTCCTGTCAGACCTTGTTAAGTGAGCCCTGGAATTATCATCCATGCCGCATTGCTCCAGTACATGGCATCACTGCGTGTCCGGCCCTTTTGATCACACGTGAGTGCGGTAGGTCTTTTTCGTGCTGTATACAATGTTACAA